GCTGATTAACCTGTGAAAGGAAAGATCAGTAAGAGTGTCATTAGCGTAACACACATAGGCAACAAATTCTCATTACAACTTAATGCCATCCAGACAGACTGCAGAGGGTCACAGGGAATGGCTAATGGTAGCCGACAAATGTTGGGTGTATTAGTCACAAAACATTTGCTGAATTCCATCAGAATGTCGTGACAACCTTCACAGCTAGTCCCCTGCTGGAGTCAGTGGAGTTTTCCTGTGACAAGCCGTCACTCTATCTCAGTTGAGCTTTATAGCACCAGTCAAAGCAGTCAGAGAAGATTGAAGTGACAGAGGCCCACTGAGTAAATAGTGAAACATGCAGCACATCATGAAATATTCAACCAGGGTGTAAGAGCTCTAAATGCTTTTTCAATTATTAGCACCTGCACTGGCTGCATACATCTAACAGCATGTTAATTGCCACAATTTGTTAGGGTAGTTGTAGGAGAAACTTCAAAGGCATGAAACATTCTCTAGTGTGTCTTCAATTCCTAACTTACCTTTAGCGAACCCACTCCTTCCTCCTAAAATTAAGTATGTATGTGCATACACTTGCAAACACACATCCACAAACCGAGTCAGGTAGGAAAACTCAAAGCTTGTGTACTGAACACAAGGTGAGTTTAAAGACACTGAATCTTGAGCAGGAGACTCCTAAACATTTTTCTGGGGGCAAAATCCAGATATATTATACTTACCTGAGAAAAGCATAAGTGCAGACTTTAATGAACACAGCTTAAAGAGGAGTTGTGTTGTTCCCAGGGATGTTTTGCCATTGATTTATATGAGGAGAATTTTATTGGAGGGCGGACTAATATGTAGCCAAGACATTGTTTTACTGATTTGCAAAGACTAACAGATTACAGTTAATTTTCAAAGAACACCACGGTCCCTACTGGTCGTGTCGTATTTTTATTCCCAGTGCTCAGCATATGGAACTGCAGATCAGTGAGGGTATGATGAGGATATGCTCAGTTGCATATGAATGATAAAGAAGATGAAAACAAAGGTGACAGAATACAAGGGTATGCTAAACAACAGTCATTTATGAGGGGGCCTTTTGTCCTGAATGGTCTTTTCAGTTCTGTCCATCCCTAGTTACCTCTCAGAAGTTCCAGACTCAGGAAGTCCAAGTAAGTTTGCAGTAGTTGTAAATGTGTGCTAGGAAAGTAGTGCTCTTTAAAATGTAATGTTGACTTACTTGCAATAGATTTGCTGGAAGTGAGATTTCTGGTTTTGCTTAAGGCTGTTGTCTTCCAGGCAGGCTTTTTGGGGTTGCAGCTGTAGCATGGCATTTAGCATCGTTTTCAAGTTTAATTGCTCATAAGTGGCATTATGTGCTCTTCAAAACCTAGAAAAGATTGTATTTTGCTCTTCATTTCAAGTCATGTGTATGTAATATCTGCTGTAAGAACCAGAGAAGCTATTTTTAAACTGGGGTTATGGATGAGGGAAATTTAACTTTTACTCCTTTTTTCCCATGCATGTCTTTTTGTAGCTGGAATAATCAAATGCTTTGGTGATTGCAAGCCATAAAAGCCAATATCTCAATTAAAAAACAAACAAACAAACAAAAAAACCCACTATGCATTTTAATTGATAGTAGGTGATTTTCTTCTTGTAATCTGAATTTTTCAAACATGACTTTACAGACCTGGAGAACATAATAACTACAGCATTAATATAAGCATTTCCACAGTAAACTGCCAGTGTGACTCAAGCATGGCTTGACAGGGCCATCTTCAAGGGGGAGGGGGCCAGAGAGGCTCTAGAAGTATTTGGTCCATGATTTGGCTGTAAGGGCAACAACTGTAATGCTTTGTGTAATATAAATTTTAACGGGAAGAGGGTGTCCAAACCCCTTAGGCCAATTTGACAGCCTTGGCCTCTGAGTGTCTATCTTAATTAATTGTTAGTATTTGCAAAACAGGTTTAGATCATCAGATTAATGAGAGCGTGTGTGTCCAAACTGGTAATGCTGTTTTATTACTGTATTACTTCATAAAATAACCATGTTTATAAAAACCCTAGAAATGCCAAAGTGCATAAGCCAGCGTTTCTTCTAACATTTGAGGGCAAAGTTGGACCTTAGTAGTAAAGAGTTTTCAATCTCCATAGACATGTTCAGGGATTGCTTTCCTGAGAATGAAAAATCATAGATTAAAAAGAGGCTAACATAATAGCTTATCCCAGAAGATTTAAATTTAAAAATGCCTATGTAAACAAAACCAGACCTATGTAAACACATATGTAAACAAAAACACATAAAGAAACCCAGACTGAAATACAAAGCATGGCTAATCTTACCACGGTTTCCTTCTCTGGCAATAATCCATTCTCCTAGAGTAAAAGTGATACAATATTATCTATTAGCTTACTTTCTTATTAAATGACCCATCCTGTTTGCTTCTTTTGAGGCTGCCACTTGCTGTACTCCAAGCAGTGAAGCAGGGGATCCAGTTTATCATATTGCAAATCAGTGCATACATTGATTTTAAAAAAAAATAAATAAAAAAAAATCAATTTGTTACCTAAAACTTCAATAGGGAGTTATATTCCTTCCCTAGCACACTTCTGTGTAAACCTAAGATAACTGGGAAATATAGCTTTGAGGTAAATTTCTAATAAATCTTTGGCACAAGCTGTTTTGAATATTCCCTTTTAGGACGTAGGGCCCTTAACCAAAAGATATCTAGACTTTAAGCACTCACACACTAAAAATTGCCTCAGACCTCAAGGTATTTGACCATAATTTGATATCAGATATCTGTTATCACCTGCTTTGTTATAAGACTACTTTCAAATTGTGTCCATTCCGTGACTGGGATTGGAGTATTACTAAATACTCATTTGTGTGAAAGCTTCAGATGATCTATGTAGTTTTAAATCTTAGAGCAGAAAAGAAACACTGATTAGAAATTGGAATGTGGCATTTTTACAAATTGATTTATTATAGTTTTATGTATAGTCTATATTATAGATGAAGCGAAAAAGAGAAAGAAATTTGCTTCCTAGATGCATCTGATTTCTGTAAGGAAAAGGAGTTGATTTGATCACTGAACTTCGCTCTTGTTTCAGTGCTCTGCTAACAACACTTGTGGCAAAATGTCTTGTGAAAGCTTTGGGAAAAAAAAACTCAAAACCACAAAAACACCAGAAAGAAAAACATTTTTCAGTGGAAGCTCCTGAAGTTTCTTGACCTTTTGGCAAAGTTTCTTATTTTGAAACACATAGGCAACACATTCCATCATTAAAAATAGCTAGGATAGAGCACCACTAGATATTGTCTGAATGTTATTAGTACAACCTTCAAATGGAATTGTATTCGTGGTTGCAGACCTTACTGTATCATATGCCACTATGAGCAGCAAGGAATGCCCTGTGAACAACATCACAGTTAGCTCTCAGTCAAAAGTACCATGGCTGCAGCTTGCTGATGAGAATGCAGAAGCTAGGTATTTTTCTAGATAGTAAAAACGCACCAGTAAGTCACCTCTGTGTCCTACAAAAGAGGGAGCACACTTATGCAAGGACTTTCATTATTAAACCTGGAATAGGGTTAGAGACTCCAGGTAGCCCCCTTGAGACTTTTCTGTTGCCAGTGGCTGAAACGCACTAAACTGTATCTGACTGTACTCACTATATGTTGAGTGACTGTAAAAAAACTGAAAACATAGTGTTTCTTTTGCCAGATGACATGCTTTTGCCACGTAGTGTAGTGCTTTTTCCTAAAGCATCAAAAGATTCTGGTTTAAATGGAACATTGTATTAATAGTTTCTCGACTTTTAAGCCACTTTCTGTGGAATTGACCCTGTTTGAGTGGAATGAATGAGAATTTTCAACTGATTTCAATCGATATACAGTCAGTGGCTATAGAATTACAGAAATTAATCACCCTGATGGAATTAGAGATTATACCTTTCTTTGGCTTTAAAAGGCAAACTGCTTTAAAATTTGGATACCTGTTTGAGAGTCTTTTGTATATTCCTACACTGCAAATATTTTCATCTTTGAAATGAAAGCTCTATTCCCCTCTTGAACATTTCAGGATCAGTTTATCCTGTGCCTTGTGAACACTGTCCTCCTTCTAATGCTATTGTATATTGCAGTCACTGAGGGGTCCTCACTAACACCTGAGACTGCTGGAGTCACTTAGTACTTAGCTTAATGTCTCATTTTAGCATATAAATTAAAGAAAGAACTGTATGTATGTGTCTGTGCTTAGATGTAACTATATAGCTGGAGAGCAAGTTTATAAAAATGTCTTTTATTTGCTTCTCCTTTGAGAAGCCTTGTACTGTAAAATCTTGCTGTAAACACTTCGAAGGCTATCACAGGTAGAGTTGTCAGAGAAAATGGACATTGTTGTTTAGTATAGAAATCATGTATTCCAGATGTGGGCATTTGTTAGTCAGTCTGGTCCAAAATGACATACTGTTGAATCTTTAAAGGGCTTCAGTTTGGGAAAGCAAAATATGATTGGGCAAATTGCTAAAATATTTAAAGTGCAGCCTGTTAAAGCTTTTACTGCGAAGAGCATCACGTCAGAAGTTGTATGTGGTAAAAGCGAGTAATTGGCTTTCCATACCTATGCCAGTCAGTCAGCATGGGGCTCTGTTCCTCTCCCTTCTTCTTCACTGCAGATGCCTATAGCAACTCTGATATATATTTTGGATGGGTGGGACTGGTAAGAAAAAGTCTTTTATGGCTGTGATGGTGTCAGAAAGCCCTGCTTAAAATTATATGGTTTTTGCTGTAGGAAGAGTACAGAAAATCCTCAAAACTGCACCCAAAATTTAAAAACTAACTTTTCTATTCAGCTTTTGTTTAAAAGTGCCTGCCTTGAAAGCATATTAAAGTGTAAATGCATTTCATTTTTTTACTTTTATCCCTTTTTGTACACAGCTCTTGGGATATCTTTTCATCCATAATTCATAATATTTTCCACTTATGTTGTCCTCAACTTGTTTTTCCCCAGGCATGACCCCTTGTTAATTCCTGGCAATGAGCAGATTGACAACATGGATGCCAATGTGAAAAAATATGACTCTACAGGGATGTTTCATTGGTGTCCAGCCAAGGACATTGAAAAGGTCATTTTGGTAGGTACTGATGATAAGCTGTGTTTGAAAAGAGGTTATTTGAACCATAGAACTGATGTCTAATGGGTTAATAAATTAATCTCTACTGTCATTAAATCTAGCGTATTGAAATCAGAAACTAAGCACGGTGAAACCAAAGCTGGCATTTTGGTTAAAGAATTATGATTATATAAATCTGTATGCCAAAAGCAGCAATAAAAATTGGTCCAAAATAGAGAATTTCTTTTTCATAATATGAAATTTACATATTTGATTTAAATCTTTAGAAGATTAAGGTTGGAAATATTGAAATGTTTACATACTCAAATTTATCTCCTTACACAAATCAGTTATGACTAATATAGACAAGTGTTGCTTTGCATTCTCTCTTCTATGTTGATATGAATTTCACTCTCTTAGAACTTCTTTCTCAATTTACAACATTTCAAGATGCCTAAATAGGCTAGAGTAAGTACTACTACTACTCTGCCGTTCTAACATGGTGCGGTAAGCCTAGTCTATGTTTGTTTTGTTTGTTTAGCTGGGGAAGCCATCAAACTGACTCAAGTCATTACAAATAATTAGAAGGCCTATCACAGTCTATTTTGCTTGGTGAAAGTTTGTGCCACTTGTGTTCATGTACTCATACCTAAGCGTAACAACTAACTCACTCCAGATCTCAAATGCAAAACTGATGATATTTGAAATGAACTCCCTGGTGGATCTTCACTTTGTCACACCTTATAAAGCTTTTCCTGAGCCTGCTCTCTTAGATTTTCCTGCACTGTAGCATGGTGTAGCCTCCGATGGTGACAGCCCCAGTTTATTCTAGCAATCAGGGGTTAAAAGCTTGTCTCCACTTCTCCTCAAGGGTTTCTATAATAACCGTGACATTGCCTACAATTGTTTAAACAGTCAAGCAAGTAAATTTGAAATTCTAGAAACTGAGCTGTGAGACAGAGTTTGGCTGCACAGCTTTAAATAGTATGCGTTTATATGTATTTGTGAATGCTCCATCCCTGTCAGTGTGCAAGGCCAGGTTGCACAGGGCCTTGAGCAACCTGGTCTAGCAGGAGGTGCCCCTGCCCACGGCAGAGGAGTTGGAACTAGATGATCTTAAAATCATTTCCAACCCAAACCATTCTGTGATTCTAGATAAGCAAGAGCAAGGAGAGGCAGCCCTGCTATACAGTACTTTGTAATAGACAGAGATCAATATCAGCGTTCATGCTCTAAACACATTTTAGTCCACAACCTTTATGTGTTGTCCCACTTTGTAAAGCGTTTTTCAAAAAATGGTGTTGTGGAGTGCCTCATTTATCATCTCTTGGTGATGCCATGTCAGTTTTTCCCTCTACTAGCCCATGTATCTGTAAGTCTGGCCAGCTTCTCTCTGCCTCATGCATCATCACCAATAAAGACGCTGCCAGCAAAATGCTTCTATACACCTTTCAAACTCACAGTCCACAATTTATGTGTACATTCACATCCATGCAAATTTAATGCTGTCCTTACAGACCACACATGTACAGTTTATTACATAATTTGAAGACTACGGGATTTCCCAGGTTGTCTTCTAATTGACACTTGATAATGCCTCAATCAGAAAATAATTCCTTTTTCTGCCAAAGGTCCATTTTGGCTCTGTGAGATTCCAGCAGTATCAGGTAGTAAGACAGTTTTGACCTACAATCAAATGTATATGGCTACATAAATTACTATAGAGTGACATTTTTTGCATAATTTCTTTCACGACTTGGTCTCTGTCTTGTGAAGTCTGAGTATTCCAGACCAATAGGCAAAGGCATGGGACAACTTACATGCTTCACCTGAGCATTCACTCACGTCTTCTGCTCTTTAAAGGTCCAAGACCACTTTCTTGATAGACTTGTATGAAATCAGTGTAATTGCCCCAGGGAGATTGAAAGCTGATGTATTTAACTGATGAAAAAACTTCTAATCAGTTCCCATTCTTCTTACTTGGTGAACACCTCTGCTGCATATTCTGATCTTTATTGCACATTGTCATCCTTCCATAATTTGGAAAAAAGACAAGAGAGGGAAAAATTTTGCAGTTCACTATTGGTTTAGTTTTATTCATTTGCAAAGCTTCTGTGTAATGGTACTGAGTGTACAACTTCTTGGCATTTTACTGTCAGTGGATCTGCAGCTACTTGGTGGAGTGCAAAAATGCTAAGACTGGCCCCAGAAATGAAGGTAATTTTTTCTGAATAACTTTATTTCATCATCTTGGTGTTTGAGTTGCCTTTTCAACTGACATTACCACTGATGAAATTAGTGCAAAAATTTATTCTTGTCACTGAGACAAGAAGATAATTCTGAACATCATTCAAATGTTCTCCGAGAGAATTTTTTTCCTTCTTTCTATTCAATAACTCAGGAAGTCCAGTAGACCTGAAAAGTTAGTGTTAATCACAATCACACTAGTTTTTTCTTACTGAGAGAAGCTCAGTACAGTGGACATCCATTGTAAAGCAGAGCACTGTAGAGCATTCTTTGATTGCTTCTCAGGGTAGTCACAGCTTGTCCTAAAATAAGAACTTTGACTAAGAATGTGGTCCTCCATTCACAAGATATGTGTAATACCACAAATCCCTGCTAAGGTCTTTAGGCACTCACATTTTCCTTTTCAAACTGGTCCTGAAAAAAAACCCCATTGATTCATCAGCTAAGTCATGGTTTTGCATCTCTTTTCTATAATCCTTCTAGTGGCTAAATGCACAGTAGGTCAAATTCTGTTCTTGGCTAAACCCAGAGTACTTAAATTGCAATGAGAGTCTGAATCCACATTTGTAGAAACATCTATAGGACCAGAATTTGGTGCAGTACAACGTCTTCTTGAGCACTGAAGGATCTGCAAACAAGAACAAAATTTTCTTCTGCTGAGCACATTTAATGAAGGATAAATAAGGGTAAAATGAACAGCTATTATTAAACTGCTTCTTTGTGCATGAATGATATTGACAGTTGTGTTTTTTCCTGGTATAAAACTCAATATATGATTTAAGCTTCCCTTTGTTTCATTTTTCCCTTGTCTTTTTGTTTTTGTTTTTGTTTTTTTTTTAGACTCGAAGTGAAGCAGCGATGACAGTTTTAAGTGGGCATGTAGTCGTTTGCATATTTGGGGATGTTAAATCTGCTTTGATTGGATTAAGAAATTTAGTGATGCCATTACGAGCCAGCAACTTTCACTACCATGAACTCAAGCACATTGTGTTTGTGGGTTCACTTGAATACCTGAGAAGGGAATGGGAGACACTGCATAACTTCCCCAAGGTTTCAATCTTGCCTGTAAGTCCAAAGCCATATTATTGATATTTTGTTATTTAGGACACCAACTGGACAGATTCGTGTTGACTTTGATCTTAGGCTTTTTTACTTTTGTCTACTTACAGGCCTGAGGACTTAGATTTTCCCTTTACTGTGTCTGTGAAAACAGAGCCCTGTGAGACCTTATTAGAAGATATTTGCCACAGTGTTTGGTTCCTTGTCATCCTCATCGGATGAATTTCAGCTGCTATCAAATGTATTAGCTGTGTTATATATTGAACATTCACTGTAGTTCACTGCGTGTAGCCAGTTCTGATGTTGTGACAGTAGTGGTTTATGACATTATTTATGTATTTATACCCACAAAACCTTTGGAGAAAAAAATATCGTTACTCTATCTAAATAATATTTATCTATGTTCATAAAAAATTCCTTTAGGCTGGCCTGTTTTATAAGGAACATTGCCATAGCGTTTCAGTTCAGAGTCCTGCCATACTTGAATATGGAAGTATGGCAAAACCCTGAGCCTTTAGAAATCAGTGAAAAGATCCTGTTGATTTTAGTAGGGACAACCACTAAAATCACACAATTCCCTTTTCTCCTATATCTCATTATCATACAGTCATGTGCCCAAAATGTAATCGAGCTCTTGGACAAACAAATGAAGCCCTCCAAGCTAGGAGGTCATAGCTGTAAATGACCTACAGAGATGTAGGAAGGAGGGAAATGAGCACACAGTATACGTACAAAAGAGGATGCTCTGTACATTACAGAGTGAAGTTAGATTGGACGTTTTTATCAGAAAGAAAAAATAGGAATTTACCAGTTCTTAATAATTACATTTCAGCAGTTAAAAATAAACAAATCAATGATGGATGTAACCTAAACTAAGTGGGAAAATAGCTATAGAATGAAAAGACTGCCTTCACTTTTTGATTAATTCAGGCTGTAGGTCTTTGTTACTGTAAATGCAGTTTTAGTGTTAGCCTTTGGCTTTTTTCTGTAAACTGATCCAACAGATGGTGTCACAAGATTCTCTGCTGTCACAAAAATGGTGTCAATATCAGATTTGGTCAGATAATATCCTCCTCTTCCTGCCAATCCCTTTTAATTCCAGTCAATTTGAAGGATAAAGACTAAGAAATCAGAATTAAATTAATAATGTTGTTGAAATGTGGAGCAGAATAGAATCCAAGCTGCCCACTACATAAGGTGTATTTGTAAAGTTTTGATTCTGAATTCCGAAGCTACATTAAGGAAACGTACACCACCTTTACATTCCCCAATCAGTTTCAACATAAACAGCTTAAATAGTTGATGCACCTTTAAACATACAGAATAATTAAAGGAATTGTATTGTACACAGTAACCGAGAGGCTGAAGACCACAGACTTGCTTTTGCTTTTTTTTTTTTCTTTGCTTATCTGGCTCAAAATGGTGATATAGAGGTAAATATGTCAGCATTATTCTGATCTAATTGTGCTAATTTAAAAGTCTACTAGAGTTTAATACTGTCAGGAATCATGTGTTAAAGGGAGGCCATGCATTCATTTCCTTTTTCCCTGTGCTTTGGTTCACAAGATAAAACTTGCTGCTGCTATCTGATGGGGATGTGGTTACAGCTGAATATAAAAACATTTGTTCTGAAGAAAGGTGGAAATTTCATTTAAAGTCTGTATTAAAAGTGGCCTTTAAGCTGCTGACTAAACTTTTAAAAAGTAGGCAAATGCCAGTTTTAAATATCCTCAGGCAGCCTTAATTCTGTCTCTTTGCATAAAATCATTAGGAGTAAGTCTTTAATTACATGGTTGCATATTATTTTTCCCCACAGGAATCTTCCTTCACATGCTGCACAGTACATACACAAAGGGCAGAATTAAGGTGGCAGGAATAATCGTATCCTAAATTTTGAGTGCTTTATAACTCAATCATATCTGTTTGATATATACTGTTTTCCACAATATTTCATGCCTCAGATTATTGAAAGTAACATGGAATAGTCAGGCTGGTATTTGGAACTAGGTGGCAATTACTGAATAAGAATTGAGCTCTGCCTTCACTTGTGTATTTCAAATTAACTTTTGCATTGAACAGTGTCAGTGGAGTTCAGGAGACGTTCACCATGAGTGATCAGGAGATGGAAGAGTAAGGTCTTGACTTGGTTTTATGAAAGTCACCGTGTGACAAGGGGACAACTTAGTCTCCTCTTCATCATTAGGATCTTTGGGTACCAACCGTGTGAGGCAGCAGAGCAGAATCTAGCTTCTATTAAAAAAAAATATTTTCTTTTTCCTTGACCTTGTAGCCCCTGTGACATAAACTTAATATTCTCTAAATAGAGATGTGGAACATTGGATGTGAAAGGCAAGTGTTATCTTTAAACAAAACATACCAGGTTAAGTGTCATGTTTTGGTTGTATTAACTATGAAACAGACTACCACAACATTTTAATTATTGCAGTCTCTGAGAATTGTGGAAGCAGGGAAGGTTGCATGAGTTGTGCCCATTAAAATCAAGTCTTGGTTTTGTTTCAAAGGGTTTAGACACACACCTTTGAAGATCAGTGTGTTTTCCTTCTAGAAGCACCAAAAACATGCAGTGAAAAGGATTAACCTTTTCTCTATATTGCTTCAGGTAGAAAAAAAATAGCTTTATCCTGATTGCATTTCAAATGTGTAGGACACATAATGCTTTTCTGTTTAAATTGCTATTCTGCCCAAGACCATTGTGACTTGGTAGTAGATAGACATTTAAAACACCCCCCTTGTTACATTCAGAGAGCCAGAGGTTGCCACATGATAACAACTTAAATCAAGACAATTTCAAGTCACCGATGAGATGGAGAATGCTGGCATTATTCCTGTTTCTTGTTTGTTAGTAATAGCTTGACTGAGTATTGAGACTGAACCTAAAATGCTGCCATCAGCATCAACTACCCTTTAGATTAGCACACATCTCCTATTCCCTGGCACATAGTTAGACCAGCTTAATGTCAGAGCATAAAAAAGATACTTGTTAAATAATTTCCCAAAGCTCCTTCTCAATCTTTAATTTGTTTTTCTTTTTTTCCCTTCCTGCTCCCCCCCCCCCCCCTTTTTTTTTCTCTGTGCCGAAGGGTACGCCATTAAGTCGGGCTGATTTAAGGGCTGTCAACATCAACCTCTGCGACATGTGCGTTATCCTGTCAGCCAATCAGAATAATATTGATGATGCTTCGCTGCAGGACAAGGAATGCATCTTGGCGTCACTCAACATCAAATCTATGCAGTTTGATGACAGCATTGGGGTCTTGCAGGCTAATTCCCAAGGTAAGGACTGCCCTATAATACTTCTCTGCAGTGCCTACAGGGGACAGGACCTGGCAGGAAGAATATCCCTCACTCAGTAATTCAAAGAGCCCTACATCAGCTTGCTTGACAGTTAAACCTGCTGATTGGTATGATGGCTTTTAAAGGGACAGTCACGTCGTTTCTCTGCTACATCACAAAGCGCATCTTGTAGAGGAAAAATGAATGAACATGAAGCTGGAATTTTTTGTCATTTTAAAATTTTCCTAACGGATATATATGTATAAAATCTTTGCTTTCTCACCCTGCCTTGCTCTGTGGCTTTCTTACCAGGGCAGTTACCGTTATATAGCCAAAGTTAACTCATACTCACTTACGAATACCTGAAGCTTCTGTCTTTATGTACCATACATTGCAGACACAGAGAAAAAAGCTCAGTGATACAAGCCAAAAAGTAAAATAAAAAGAATAAGCATTTTAAATTGTCTTTACAGTTTCTGTGCCTTCCTGCTCAAAAAGGCACTTAAAATTAGCTCAAAGCTGATTTCTTCCCATGGTTTGACATGTACTCATCGCATGTGAGGACATTAAACAAAATCCTTCAGTCTTTGCTGGTAGTAGGGGACTGATTCATAGGTAGCCAAAGGCTATTTTACACCAACTGTGCCTCTGCAAAACAGCTGCAAAGCATTCATAAGCACCCTGGCAAAGACCATCAGTGTAAAAACAATCTTCTTCCCATCCCTGAAGGGTCTTTCAGCTTATGCAACTGAAGTCCTACCTTTGATAAACCTATTAGGTGCTGCAGTAAATATTCCCTCTGGATCTAGCCCTGCTATAAGTGTAGGTGTAGAAAGGATAGTGCTTTGGTCTGCAGTTTCCCTGTGGGCCTGACCTAGAGATAGTTTCGCCTCAAGGACTGTGAGAAGTAAAATTAAATTCAGTTTTCCTCTTTACACTCTAATCAGGAAATAGGAATTATGAACCAAAAATCAGAGCCAGTACTGTTAACTTCTTGAGTATGGAAACTTCTTGAACATGGAAATTTTTTTCTTAGAATTGGCAATAGCATTGTGGAATTTAATGATGGAATTAAATTGTACCAGGAAACTAAAAGTTTCAAATTTTCAAAGTCAGGTTGGATAGTTTCTTTTATAACAAGTAGCTTTAGAGAAGGAGAGGAAGGAACTGTTCTTTCAATCTTGTGAGTGTTTGAAGTTTCAAATCTGTGGCCTGGAAGTGATACAACCACCAAAATTTTAGAGTTCTTCCTTTAAAAATTTGTGAGACTGATTTGCTCACCCTATGATAACTTATAGTCATGTTTAGGAAATTCATTGCAGAAGTGGAAGGCAGGCATGGAGGTTCCTTGTTTTGCTGATTTAGACCTGGGTCTGAAATTTTGTATCTCAAAACCAAATGTGTATTTTCATTACCAGGCTACTGGCAACTGGTGGGTTACTCTCAGTCTCCTATCACATACATAATTAAAACCAAGACATAGAATCCGTTTGTCTCACCCCTTCTTCCCTTCCTTCCTGTTCTTGAGGAACAGTCTGAAAGAATTTCCTTCTTCTCCCTTTGCTCAGAGGTTAGTGATATTTCCAACACTTAACTGTTTCATTTTTTTTCTGGGAGTACACTGGACCTAGCAATATAAGAATCTTGTGCACCACATGAACAGTTGTCATTTTTTATTCTTGATCCTTGGAGGTATTCAAGACCTGACTGCATAAAGCACTGAAGAACCTGATCTGACCTCATAGCTGACCCTGCTTTGAGCAGGAAGTCAGACTAGAGACCCTCTGATGTCCCTTCCAGCCTGAATTATTCTGTGATTCTATAATATCCAGGTTGCTGTTGAAGCATAGCCCCTGTAGGTCATGAAGTGTAGACTGTGGCCATGGTCTAAATCCCTTCAGCCATATTCCTTGTAGCTGATGCAGAGAAGCAGAGGCATGATAGGTTAGCACATACTTAGAAATTCTGGTAATTTCTTCAGGTAAATATCAGTCTGCATGTAAAAAATGTGACTTTTTCTTTAGCTTTTCTGGGGAAAAAGGGTGTAACATAAGTCAGGAAACCAGCCACCAATTTTAGTTGCAAGTACTGAATAGGGACAGTACTTTTTCTTCTAAAACCAGTTGCTTCAGAAAATAATTGTCTTCCTAGTAAATTCTCTGCTTACGGTATCCACAACTCCTGAATTGGTTGCATTGCTTTCAGTACAGTAAATTTTCTTGAAAGACCTTGAATACAATGGTTAGGCTGTCAGAAGCAATTAGATCAGTAGATAGCACAAACTTCACTGGAAATTATATCCAGTGTGACATTTTTGTCTATGAAATGCAACTTTAACATATGGTGGACACAGCTATCATGACTGTTACATAAACTAGGTGATTCAACTTTTGCTGGTCAAGAAGCAGCATACTAGAATCACCTCACAGCTCTTTACTGGCAATTAAGTACCTTTATTTACAGAGCAAGCTGTCATTTTACTTTTGCTTAAACATTTCTGCCTTATTTGACATAACATTATTCTCAACACATTAGATGGTACAAACCTTAAGTATTGACAATCTGAATTTTTCTAGATCTGAATGTATGATTTTGAATTAAGACATTCCTCACCAACACCATCCTTTGAAAGAGT